TACCCATCCATTTCCTTGTGTGTTTTCAACCCAGGCTTATGTTACCTGCCTGTGTTCCATCACCCTGATCCTTGAACATTTTGTTTTAAAATCATTATTAAATCATTTAAAACTTACCATGAGGCTCCCCGGCTCTGCTCTGCATGTGGGTCCAACCAAATTTTTTTTTTCAATCTGTTACTAACACACGTCTTTTTTATAGTATAAACCTCGAGTTTATTGGTAAGTATTAGATTAGTTTTAGATTAAAATTTTGGGAATAACCAGATTGCAAAAGTACCCCTTGGTATTTTCCACGTTTTGTCACTTTACAATGAAAAGTCAATATATTTTATTGATGTACACAATGTGTTTAATTGTGAAATAGAATGAAAGTAATAATTTTTTTTTGATAAGTAGAAATCTGAAAACTTTTGTGATTGTATTCATTTGTATCAGCCCCCTGAATCAATACTTGCAAGAACTAACCATTGCTGTAATTACAGCTGCAAGCCTTTTCACTTATTCGTCTTTGCAAAATAGATTGGTTAGACAACATACCAAAACAGGAAGTCGTGTCACAGTTTCAAGTTTGGTAAAAAGGTCTGGTTGCAGTGGATTTTATTTAAGGGTAAAAAGAATAAAAGGGATTTAATACAAATGCTTGCCACTTCACAAATGTGTGCTACATTGTGGCAATCTATCACACAAAATACCTCATTTATGGTGGTAAGGGGGCAAAATGTGGGTAAAACATACTTTTGCAAGGCTGCTGAAAGATCACAACTGTTTATTTATTATTTTTGGTTTTTATATCAGTAACATTTAGAGTTGAAAGCACAATTTTCTCTTTCCACCTGATCTTAAGTTATATCATTTTATGTAATACATCAAAACTTTCTGTGCCTTAATATTGCCTTGGTTGTATAGAAGTTCATCTTGTTCTTTCTTAAAATTGTTAAATTTAACAAAGCAGCTGGATTCTCAAAAAATTTAGATAATAATGATGGAGTATGGGGCCATGCTAAGTTGAGTCAGACCACCGAGAGAGAAAATGACTCTTGAATGGTTTTCTCAGTGGAAAAGATATTTTCATTCTTCTACCAGTGAGCATCAGCCAGAGTTTGATCTCAGATCTGTTGATCTGAGTGGTTGAAGCTAGATCACAATAGGCAGTGATGGACAGATGGTTCATCAAAAGAGTTGCCAAGTATTCTTTAAAAGCAATTTTCCAAACTACATCACTCAAAAACTTCCCAGATGGCGGTGTGAAACAAACCATATGGCACATCAGGTTTAAAAACTGCACATCACCCCTCAAATATACTTTAAGCAAGCATTTTTAATGCTTAAACTTAGTTCCTTTTGAAGTTTGAAGTTTTTCTGGGTAGTTATTTCTCATAATGTGTAATACATTGTTTAACATAACAAATAAATAATTAGATATAACAAAACATTCAATAAGACCCTACTAAAACAGAATTAAAGGCAGATTTTAATTTAGAGGGTCACACAAAAAAATTAGAATTTTCACAATGTGAACCTGAACCAAATACAGACCCACTCAACACATCTGAAAAGTCTTAAAATATCACATAAAAGCAATCATAATAAGAATCAAAAAGTAGCTAATGCTAAAATGCCAAGCAAAAGAAAACACCTCTGATTAAAGTTTTATGTAAGTGGCAACTGAGACAAAAAAATGCATGTGCACAACTACCAGGAGGAAATCCCAGTGCAGTACCAATTTTGTGAGTTTGATCAAGATTTCAGAAATAACTCTTTAAAGTTGCAAGATTTTTAAATTTAGACGTGAGGTAATTTGTGTAAATTTGAGCTCCACACTTAAACCTTTTGTTTGAGAGAAACAAACCTTTACATGTGAACAGGTTTGAGGTTGTCAGCACATACCACCTAGTTTCTCACTGTGTGACCTTCTTGTTAAACAGGCCTAACAGCTCATTTGATAAAATTAAAGGCACCAGTTTGAACAAACTGGCCTTAGCCTTATCAAAGCTAAGGGCTTAATGCGTTTTTCACAGGGTCAAAATTAGGATGTGCTAAGAGCATTAAATTAACATGAGTTTCTAGGACAGCTTTACCTTGTGTTATCAAAGGCCACAATTGATGACCGTGTTGTTTGAGCACAGCTGAATGATGGTCTCAGGTCATGCGATCCATCATGCAGCAAATGAATCTAAGGCATAATATGGCAGGTAATACTGATGAGACCACATTTATATGCTCAAATCATAATGATGAAATGATTTTGCTGATGTTTGGGTGAAATTTCATTCTTGGTGAAACTGTGTGATCTTCCCGCTACAAATATTTGTATCAGAGTGGCCCTGGTTTCTATTCATTGATTGTGGAATTCATCTTTATTAAGCCTCATATAAGAATACCTGTGTATTTTCTAACAATATTACCAAGTAAACAGATAATAATTGCTAACAATATCGAGCTCATTTAGTGGCTCTGAAGTTAAGCTTCATAGCATTTTAAATGAACTGTTGTAACTTAAATAATAAAATAGTAAATGCAGTTTTATAAGCTTTTTACTCCAAATATGGATGGATGATCAGAGACCCATACTTTATCTCTTCTTTTGGAATGCGACTCTGATAATTTATAAGTCACATTACCTGTGAAACAGCTGCGTCTCAATTTTCGCTTGTCCTGTAGCTGCAGTGCATTTTGCTCTTTAGGTTGCAATTAAGGATGTACCTTGGATCATGTTCAATGTGCAGCTGTGTTGAGGAAAGCTGGTTCAGCTTGACCCAATATTAGTCTGTCTACTTGGTGATCATTCGTGGCATTCATAGCAGATGATTTATTGGTTTCATGGGGCGCGGCAGTATGTAAAAGTACAGCTCAAAAAAAATTTTATATTGTGAAGAAGTTCAATATTTTTTGTCACTGATTTCAGAAAATAAAACTCCTATATTTTATAGATTTATTTATCAGTGTAATATATTTCAAGTCTTTATTCCTTGTTACATTGATAATTATGGCTTAAAAATAATAGCCCCTTTTCCACCAAAGGTCCCAGGATATAAATGTCTGGAATTTGTTTTTATCCGGGTAAAGGAGTCCCAGGTAATTTGTACACTTTCTGTTTCCACTGCTCTGAAAGGTTGCAGAAAATTTATTTAAATCAGCCTAATGACATATGGGGAAGTTATGAAGAAAGCTGAACTAGACCTTCAGTCCAGCACGCCATTACATTTAAGCAGAACCACAGGCTGATCGCCTCTATGCCGAGTCTTATTCATGCAGTAATGCATGCAAAAGGCCCAACCAAGTACCGAGTGCATACAAATTCACAACATATGGCTCAGAGGTTTTCTGAAGCCCTACAAAATACAGGTAACTCCTCTGAAGAACAATAATGGCTCTCCCCAAGGGAAATGCTGGTGCCTTGGTGCCTACTCCCTCCTCCCTCACATATGTAACACCACACAGCAGTAGGTCTAGTGGTATGGGACATGGGGCAATGGTCTTGTGGGCATGGGGGGAGCTCCTTGCAATAGAGGTATTTGAACTCCTGAAGCAGAAAGTCATCCCCAACCTGGAAGGAAGAATCCCAACTTCTTCAAGATTGAGAACAAAGCCCTCAGACTTCAGAGCTCAGAGCTTTTTTAACTTGGCTGCCAACCACTCCAGTGCATGTTGAAGGTCATGGCCTGGAGAAGAAAGCAGAACCACAGCATCCACAAAAAAGCTAAAGTTCTAATACAGGTAAAAAGTCATTTATTTATGTAATCCTCTTTAAAATAAAATGACTTGAAAAATTACAAAACCTGAACAGAATTTTACATGGACTGGCCTTTCCAGCAGTTTCCCACAGATTTAATGTTACTTTTTGCGGTTTCCAGCACTCTAATCTTACCTGACAAATCTGTAAAACACATAAGGGCAGAGTAACCGCGGTAACATTAACAACGAGGTCTGTCAGCTCAATTTTACCTACACATGACCTTTGTTGGAGCTATGAAGAGGACTAAGTGACCGCTCCTGGGTGTTTTTGGAGCTGCTGTTCCAGCTCATGTTCTTGTTTTTTTCCTCCAGTTTTTTTCCTGTTCTACCATGAGAGCACTTTCATGTCTGCAGTTGAGAGGAGGAAGAGTTTCACCATAAACCGGCTTTAAGAAGAGCTCAGTACATTTAGTCTATTCATTAAAGGGACAGAGGTCACTGTTAATCTGTACATTGACCCATGAAAGTAACATTTGAAATTTCATCTGCTTGCTCCTTCATAACCATTTACTATTCACTACACCATGTACTATGAATAAGAATTACAACCACTGACGTATCACAGTCTTTAATTTAACTTTAGCAATATTTATTTCTGTTGTTGAAAAGTGAAAGAACTAGAAAGTAATTTGATTTGAAAAACTCTTGCAATATTGGGGGTACACTCATCTTGAGGAAGCTATATTTGTTTTCTGTACTATCTTAAAGGATGTTTTAACAAGTGAACAAGAGACTAGGCACATTTCTTAACAGTCAGCCTATAGAAAATGACTTTGCTGACAGGACGAGGTTAAAAGAAAACCTGTAAGAGAGATCTGTTATTGTAACTTTATTCACCACTGAGAACTTAAATGAGCAATAATAGAAAATAAACTTTACAATACTCTCCAGGCTAGAGTTTTCCCTGTTGCTTTTGCACGTTTTTGCACCACATGTTTTCACCAACTTTCCATTAAATGTGCTTGATTCGTGCACATACAGTTTCTTCCTCTGTTAATAATGGTGTAAAATTTTGGTGCAGTGCTCCCCATCATTGCGTAGACCATAAAATAGCTATAACATGATATTACTGTTAATTGTTCTTATGTAACATTTTAATTATTTTAAATTTTAATTCTCTGACAAACAAATTTATGCATTTTTGTTGTAACCCATAATTATCACGAAAAATCCAAAAAAATAATGCATTTTACCCTGTCTGTAACAAATCTATATAATTGATATTGATATTCCACTTTTGATGAAGCCGTTAAGTAGCGGGCTGCACGGTGGCACAGTTGGTAGTGGGCAAGAAGCAGCAAGAAGGTCCTGGGTTCGACTCCCGGCCGGGGGTCTTTCTGCATGGAGTTTGCATGTTCTCCCCATGCATGCATGGGTTCTCGCTGGGCACTCTCGCCTCCTCCCATAGTCCAAAGACATGCCTGTTAGATTAATTGGTCTCTCTAAATTGCCCTTAGGTGTGTGAATGAGTGTGTGCATGGTTGTTTGTGTGTTGCCCTTCGATGGTTTGGCGACCTGTCCAGAGTGTATCCCGCCACCCGCCCATAGACCGCTGGAGTGAGGCACCAGTTTCCCCACAAACCACTATGGAAGAAGCGGTATAGAAATGAGAACCCGGTAAGTCTTCGTTTGTCAGATTAAAAGTACCTTTCGAAAGTAACAACCATTAAGCAGGTATTAAACATTCTTTCATTAAGCCCACATTTTTGTTAGAAATATGTTATTTTTAATCTGTCTGATGTAATATTCTATTCTTGTCATTAGCTGTAAGGGGAAAATCATCATAGTTAATAGAAAAAATGGCTTAACATCAGCCTGTTTAATTAACCTATTTAATGACTTAGTGAATTAAATTACTGAAATAAATGAACTTTTCAATAAAAGCAGCTGTTGCTCTTATAAAGATTACAGTTTGGCATAAAGGTCGAAAGTCATTTACTGATTTTATTACAGACCTTTATTACCAACATAAAACCAGCATCAGCTTTTGTAGGTGTGCAATATAGTCACTGGACTAGCTGAACCTACTGTCAAAGTCTAAGAAGTTTTCTAGATTCTTCATAGACCTTGACGGTTTTCTGGCAAATTGTGTTTCATTTCTTCAGTCTGTTCTCTGGTTTCTTTGCATAGGTATTACTTTCTGCACGTAGTGCTCATTTGCTAGAAGTCAAACCTGGGTTATATTTGTTATGTAATCCCTTAGTGTATTCAAAGTCCCTCATCCTCACTTATTTCTTGCCAGATCCTTGCTGTGTTGGTCGGTTTTTTAGCCATGCCTGAGTCTTACTTTTAAGTTGAAGCTTCTGCGAGAGGACTTTCTTCTTCTGCAGCTTTTTGGGTTTAGGGTTAGGGTTAGTGTATTTTCAGTAGTCTGGTTAAATTTCTAAATTTACTGCCATCCTCGTGGTCAATCCCATGATCGAGTGACCATTGTTATAGAGCATCGAGTATAACTGCAAAAGTGTAATGAGGCATTAATATTGTGAAGTACAGGGGTTGGACAATGAAACTGAAACACCTGGTTTTAGACCACAATAATTTATTAGTATGGTGGGGCCTCCTTTTGCGGCCAGTACAGCGTCAATTCGTCTTGGGAAAATACAAATACAAGTCCTGCACAGTGGTCAGAGGGATTTTAAGTCATTCTTCTTGCAGGATAGCGGCCAGGTCACTACGTGATACTGGTGGAGGAAAACTTTTCCTGACTCGCTCCTCCAAAACACCCAAAGTGGCTCAATAATATTTAAGATCTGGTGACTGTGGAGGGCCCGGGGGTTTCAACTTCACTTTCATGTTCATCAAAACCAATCTTTCACCAGTCTTGCTGTGTGGATGGTGCATTGTCATTCTTATACACGGCACCGCCTTCAGGATACAATGTTTTGAAACCTTGGATGCACATGGTCCCCAAGAATGGTTCAGTAGTCCTTGGCAGTGACGCACCCATCTAGCACAAGTATTGGGCAAAAGGGAATGCCATGATATGGCAGCCCAAACCATCACTGATCCAACCCCCATGCTTTTACTCTGGGAAAGCAACAGTCTGGGGTGGTACGCTTCTTTTTGGGGCTTTTCCACACCGTAACTCTCCCGATGTGGGGAAAACGTAAAAGGGGGACTCATCAGAGAACAATACAGTTTCACATTGTCCACAGCCCAAGATTTGCGCTCCTTGCACCATTGAAAAAACCACGTTTGGCATTGGGGATGAGTGACCAAAGTTTGGCTATAGCAGCCCCGGCCGGGGTTTTATTTACCCTTGGAGCTCCCGACGGGCAGTTCTGGTGGGAAACAGGAGTTGAGGTGCACATTTAATTCTGCCGTAATTTGGGGAGCCGTGTTTATGTTTTTTGGATACAATCCAGGTTAGCACCCAAACATCCCTTTCAGACAGCTTCCTCTTTCGTCCACAGTTAATTCCTGTTGGATGTGGTTATCCTTCTTGGTGGTATGCTGACATTACCCTGGATACTGTGGCTCTTGATAAATCACAAAAACTTGCTGTCTTGGTCACAGATGCGCCAGCAAGACGTGCACCAACAATTTTTTCTTTTTGAACTCTGGTATGTCACCCTAAAATTGTGTGTTCATTTCAATATTTTTTGGGAAAACTGTGCTCTTACCCCCGCTAATTGAAACCTTCACACTCTGCTCTTACTGGTGCAATGTGCAATCAATTAAGACTGGCTACCAGGCTGGTCCAATTTAGCCATGAAACCTCCCACACTAAAATGACAGGTGTTTCAGTTTCATTGTCCAACCCCTGTATTTGTCCATGTTAAATCTTAAGACAAATACAAGTTCATCTCTGGACTCTTCTGATCCTTGTTGGTTGCATGTTGTTATTTTATTACAAATTCATTTTTTACTTTATAGGCCTTCCATCCTTTTAACATGACTGGCCATATTTTAAAAATGACCTCTAAGTAGAAGATATGATCCCTTTGCATCTGTCAGCAAAAACACAAGATGGTTAAATGGCAAACCTATGGCTGAAGAATTGTTGTGTTATAACCTCAAGTTTTTTTTTTCTTAATTACTGTTTTTATTGGAGGGGCTGCACAGTGGCACAGTTGGTAGCACTGTTGCCTTGCAGCAAGAAGGTCCTGGGTTCAACTCCTGGACGGAGGTCTTTTTGCATGAAGTTTGCATGGTCTCCCCGTGCATGCATGGGTTCTCACCAGGTACTCTGGCTTCCTCCTGCAGTCCAAAAACATGACTGTTAGGTTAATTGGTCTCTCTAAATTGCCCTTAGGTGTGAATGAGTGTGTGCATGGTTGTTTGACCCACTATGGAATAAGCGGTATAGAAGATGAATGAATTTATTAATGTTTTTAATTTAGCATGTGGCAAGGTTGTTTCAAAGTGAGTGCTATAAAATATAAACACATAATCTATCCTAATTTATTTAACTTTTTCAGTGTTTCCTGAACTGATGTAGAATATATTGCAGCATATTGCAACAAACAACTTGTATTTGTCCAATTGTTACAGAATCATAATTTTTAGAATGCATAATAATACGTATTTTTTAAAGTCTGTGTTATAATTTTTGTCCAGTTTCGTTTATACTTCTTGGTTGTGTGAACTAAAGTTAAAAATAGGGGTTTGGTGAATAAAACTGCCATGAAAACTTACTACTATATCATGTTATGACCTGTTAAATCTTCTATTTGACATTTACAACATGTAAAGTACGAAGAGAACACTTTGTTTCAAATGTCAGACTTTTGAAATGTAACTGTGGCTCCATGAAGCACAGGTCAACTCAACAGAGCAGACAAATGACTTTTACAGTTGAGCAGTGATTGTTTTATGCAGGAGAATAACATCACATTCATGCACGTGCACGTTTACGAGGGACCCCACACTGTATAAGAGAAAACTGTAGATGGCGGTATTCCACTATGGTCAATGAAATCTAGGAGACATTTCTCCAAAACGCGGCTGAGTACATATCAACAGAAATGTCATTAATGAGTTTCTGTTGCTGTGCTCTGACACATAAGATCGTGTCAAAGCAATAAAGTTCAGCCCCTAAGCTCTGTGGCTGTTAAAAGTAATCCCACTCCTGTTTTTACTGCTGTTACTTGAACAACTCCTAATAGATCTCATGTCACTACGACCCAGGCAACATCTCCAGTGGGAGCCAAGAAAGACGTGTCATGTGTGAAAATCCTCCAGCTGGTTGTGTGCAAACGTCTGAGGTGGTTGGAAATGTCAAATTTCACAGCTGGATGAAATCTACTCTCACATCCTTAAAGGTGAGTACATTTTTGGTAAGATGATGATGATTATCACAGACCTGACATGACCAGTCACAGCAATGTCTGGTTATCGAGTAGGTGACACTAATTATTTCATGTGAGCCGTTTGAGGTCATATCCTGAATGACATCATGGAACAATCTTAGGACTTGAAGTATTTTAGGGGGGGGAATGACTTAATTTTGAAATATTGATGTAATACACTCCCAACCAGAAAAAAATTACACTGATGGCCTAGAAAAAACAAACTTTTCAGTAAAAATAGCTTAAAAAAATTAGATAACATGCTGAAAAGTGGTTGAAGATTTTGCTTTCTTGTGAATAACTGAACCAATATTTAATTATACAGCTTCTGTTTCTGAGAAGTGCTTCTGTATTACATGAAGTTGACTAAATTCTTGCAAAAGTGAACAGGCATTCCAGCCCAGAATGATTGGACTACCATCCACAATTCCACTGCATATCTTGGATTAAGGTCAGTGTATTGGACTGGCCGCACCACAACATTAATCCTGTTGGTCTGGAACTAAGATGCTGCTCACTTACTGGTGTGCCAAGGGTCACTGTCAAGTTGAAACATTCATTATGTGGGCCTTTTCATTGTCAGCGGAAGGCAACATGACCTCTTCAATTATTTTAATGGATTGAAACTGATCCTAAATCTGTGGTGTGATAAACAGGCCATACACCATAGTATGAGAAACATCCCCATAGCATGATGCCTTCGCCACCCTGTTTCACTGTGTTGTTGCTTGAATTTTGTGTTTGGGGGTTGTCTGACAAACTGTCCGAACACCCTAGACTTAAAAGAAACAGTCATTCAAAATGTTTCTCTATTTCTCTTAAGACCGGTTACTGTGTGAGCAAATTGTAGCTTCTTCAGCATGTCACCTTTTCAACAATAGTACTCTGCAGGGGCTTCTTGCAGATAGCTTGGCTTCACATACTAGTACATTACCTGCCATGTATTCATGTACGTACTTTCTACTATCAACAGTAAATGCTCTGGTAGATAATGTTGGACTGCTATTATTTTGAACACAGCTGTGTAACCAACTATTGAATTCTGTTTTATT